CAAGTCTAGGTTTTCCATTCATCCCGGGGCAACGAAGATGTATAGGGATCTTCGTCCTGATTATTGGTGGCCCTGCATGAAGCGGGATGTGGCCTGGTATGTGGAGCGGTGATTGACTTGCAGGAAATTCAAGGCCGAGGATCAGCGACCTAACGGCAAGATGTAGTCGTTGGAGATTCTCGTATGGAAATGGGAAGATATTACTATGTATTTTATCACGAAGCTACCCCGGACTACGCGCGGAGTGGATTCGATTTGGGTCATCGTGGATCGTTTGACCAAAAGCGTGCATTTCATCCCGATTCAGGATAGTATTTCTGCAGAGAAGTTGACTGAGATTTATATTAGGGAGGTTGTGGTACGTCATGGGGTGCCAGTATCGGTGGTTTCTGACAGGGATGTTCGGTTTACTTCCAAGTTTTAGAAGAGGTTCCATGACGATTTGGGCACTCGTCTCCATTTCAGCACAACAATCCATCCGCAGACCGATGGTCAGAGTGAGCGGACTATTCAGACCCTAGAGGATATGTTGTGGGCGTGTGTTCTGGATTTCGGTGGGAGTTGGGATACGTATCTTCCATTAACGAAATTTTCGAATAACAACAGTTATCTTGCCAGCATTGATCGACCTCCTTTCAAGATGCTCTACGGGAGGAAGTGTAGGACCCCGATTTGTTGGGGGCGAGGTTGGTCAGTGGGTTATGGGGAGTACCGAAGTGGTACTCAAGACCACTGAGCTGATTCAGCAGGTTCGGAGTAGTCTCCAGACAGCTCAGAGTCGCCTTGGAAAGGTGTCATTCGGTTCAGAAAGCGGGGCAAGCTGGGCCCCAGGTATATTGGTCCTTTCAGGGTTTTGGCTCGGGTGGGCCGGGTTGCTTATGTATTGGATCTTCCAGATGAGCTCAATCAGATTCATAGCACGTTCCACGTCTCTCAGTTGCAGAAGTCTTAGTGGATGATTCTGTAGTGGTACCGTTGGAGGATATTCAGGTGGATGACCGCATGAATTATATTGAGATACCGGTGGCGATTCTGGATCGGAAGACGAAAACCTTGAGGAACAAGGTTGTCGAGTTGGTGAAGGTGTAATGGAAGCACCGCAAGGGGTCTGAGTGGACTTGGGAGCCTGAAGAGGAGATGAGGGAGCACTATCCAAAGTTATTCGGGGCAGCGGACTTCGAGAACGAAGTCTAATTCAAGTGGGGGAGAATTATAACACTTGGATTTGGGGTATGTTCCTTTTATATTGAATTATTGGATTTGGGGCGTACCACATGGTACGCTTAGCGTACTAAGGTGGAGCTGGATCGCGGATACGAGGCCTCGTACGTTGGGCAGATGAGGGTTACGCTTAGCGTACTCGGAGGTTAATGAAACCCTAAATTAAGGGTGTTGCACCCTATATAAAGACCTTAAGTCCCTAGGGTTGGCCTCTTTACCAGCCTCCATTGCCCTAAAACCCTAAAATCGACCTTTTAGCCTCCATTGTTGTGTTTTTGAGCTCTTAAGAAGAAGTTGGTGTTTGTTTTGCTCATTTTGAAGAGATTGAATAAGGTTGAAGGTTCATAGCTTGGTAGGAAACTTAGAGATCCAGAATCATCACTCATTTTGCAAGTCTTTTGAGGTATCAAGTTCATACCTTGGCTTTTGAATGCTTAGATCTCTTTATGTCTTGATTTTATGCTTTTGGTCCCTTTTGGGTTGGTTGATGAGTTAAGATGTTTGTGGGACTTTTCCTTTTTATTTGAGCATGTTATGAGGTTCTTAAGCATAAAGGTGTAAGCTTTGTAGGGTTTATGGTCACATTCATGCTTTAAGTCACCTATCAAGTCCTTCTTAGCTTTAAGAGCTTCATTAAGCCATGCATGCACGTAAAGTTAGCAACTTTACATGATAAATCAGCTCAAGGAAGTCAGATCTAGGTTTTGGAGTAAAGTCTTTATGGATTAAGAGTTGGAAATGAGATTTGGCTAAATGGGGGAGTACGATGGGCGTACAAGCAGATACGCTTAGCGTACAAGCCCTAAAGCGAGTACGCTGCGCGTACGTGCTGAGTACGCCCCGCGTACGTGCTAAGTACGCCCCGCGTACTCAGCGAGTTGGGCTTCGCAAATTGGATCTTTGGTGTGGGCCATTCTTTTGGGCTTAGATGCTTAGGGCTTGTTGGGCCATCTGAATTCTTGTGTTTTGGGTTGGGAATATGTTGGACATTGGATTAAGGCCCATGGTAGGGATTTTCACCCAATTTGGAAAATTGGGCCTTGTATGATTATTTTGGTTGTTGGGCTATGTTTGGGCCTTTTAGATTATGAGTTTGGGCCTTAGTCTTGGACCAAACTAGGTAAGGGGTAAAATTGTCTTTTTACCCTAATTATGGACTGATAGTTATGGATTGGAATCCAATTATTTATTGGATATTATTTGGTATTGATAGCTTGGGTATCTATCGGACCAGCAGCCAAAGATCTTTTAGTGTGATTTAGCAGTTCGAAGTGAGTTTCCTCACCATGTTTAGCGGGCCGAACCAATGTCGACCCATGATCTGTTATGTTAGAATACTCGTTGTATGTGTGACACTGGTATGTGTATGTGCTTGTACGCTTACTAGGCGGGGCCCGATGGTTATTATGTATGCTATTACATGCTATGCTTATATGAATTGTATGTGGGTGGGGCCCGTTATGTGAGTTAGGGCGGGGACTGTTATACTCATTGGGCGGGGCCTGTTATACTCAGTGGGCGGGGCCCGTTATGCGAGTTAGTGCGGAGCCCGTTATACTCATTGGGTGGGGGCCGTTATGTGTTATATATGTATGGTATGTGGTATCTTGGGGAACTCACTAAGCTTTGTGCTTACGGTTTTCAATTTATGTTTCAGGTACTTCCAGTTCCAAGAGGAAGGGCTTGGGATCATTGCAGGGCACACCCCACCTCGTTGTGCGTTTTGTGATTTACTCTGGTTTGATATGACGATTGATACATTTTGTTTTATTTGGATTGTATTGATGATGTTTTTGGAATACTGGTTTTATTAAATTAAAAATGAAATTTTTGGGTCTTATTTTTGGGACGTTTCAAGGGCGGAGCCCATTGATATGTATTGAGTTGAAATATACCCCAGGGTGGGGCCCATTGATATGTATTGGGTTGAAATATACCCCAGGGCGGGGACAATTGATATGTATTGGATTGAAATATACCTCAGGGCATGGCCCATTAATATGTATTAGGTTGAAACATACCTTAGGGTTGGGCCCACTGATTTGTTTGATGTATGGTATTTTGGGGAACTCACTAAGCTTTGTGCTTACGGTTTATGTTTAAAATGTTTCAGGTACTTTTGGTTTCAAAAGGAAGGGCCCGACTTGATCGCACTGCATCCCCTGGAGATTTATTTTGCACTAATTGTTTACGAATTACTCTGATGTTTTGAAAATACTTTGACTCTGGTCGTCTTTTGGAACAATGAGTGAATGGTTTTCAATTATTTAAAATGAAATTTTTTACTCGGCATTTTTGGGACGTAACAATTTATAGCCTCCCTCACCCCTAGAGAGTGTTTCCAGAAACCCTAGCCCCTCTCCTCCCATTTTAAGCTTGGTTCCACCTTGAGAGTTTATCTTTCCTTGTTTTGTGCATGAAGCTTAAAGATCAAGATTTCCTTTAGATCATTAAAGTGAAGAGCAAGTGTAGATCCATAAAGTTTGCACCTTACTTGGATTTTTATGAGTATAAAGCTTCAATCTTTCCTTCTTATTTGTTAGATCTTGCTTATTGTCCATTTTATACACTTTTAGTCCTATTTTGGTAGTGAGCTTGGAGTTGAGATGACTCCGGCTCCTTTAAATTACTTAGGGTTGTCAAATGGACCATTTGGACTTGGAAAGTTGGTATCCATTGCATGTTCTCTTAACCATGCAAGTTGTGTGGACATTTTAGGTCTTTTTGATGTTTAAAGTTTAGATCTTGTTGGATTGGAGTGTCTTAATGGATAAAGTTTGAAACTTTATCCATTAATACATTGTTAAGGACCAGATCTGGAAGTTTAGGGGATTGACTTAATGGAATAAGTCATTTTGCCTTTTGATCATGGCATGGACGCCACACACCTTTCCCATACGCGGTGCGCCTTTCTGAACCATCTGAAACGCGCCTGTTTAAGCTGAGAAACTCGACTGTCTTGTCTTCAAGTGAGCATGGGGCTCCTGGTTAACCCAAAGTTGATTTTGTTGACTTTTTGGCTAAGTTTGACTTTTAGGTCAAACTTTAGGGTTTTAAAGGTCATAAGTTGAAGTTGACCTTTTACTACATGTTTAGGTGGTTGTTGTACCTGCCTTTACATTCTACAAGCTAAGGTGATTGTCCGACTGTCTGTGAGATAAGTTTTTTCACTATACTATGTAGGACATTAGATACTTGTTGTTTTTGTGACTCTTGCATTGTCTGTATGTTGGGAAAAACCCGTTAGACGAGGCCTGCTATTATGTTTATTGGGTAAGACCCATGGATGAGGCTCGTTTATATGTTAGTTGGGCGAGGCCCATTTCGGTATGTGACATCTTGAAAAACTCACTAAACTTTGTACTTATGGTTTTAAGTTTAAATGGTTTCAGATACTTCTGGTAGCAAAGAGAATAACTTGGTCTATTGCATTGCATCCACCGAAGATTACACACTATCTATTTTATGTTTACTCTGAAGTTTTGTTTGAGACTACATTTTACTCTGGTGATCTTTTGATAAAATGGTATTTGGATGGTTTTGTTTTATTTAAAAAAAAATACATTCTCTTTATTTTTTGGGACGTTTCAAGAACACAATGGAGGATTGACTTTCAGTAAAGATTGCATCATATTGAGATGAGAAAGGGACATGCACAAGTCGAACTTCACCCATTAACCTTATAACGAATAAAGTATATATATATATATATATATATATATATATATATATATATATATATATATATATCAATTTCAGTATACTTAGTTTTGGTTTGTTGTTCATTTGCAAAATATTTGATGTAAAAAATCAAATCTCAAATCTCATTTTGGAAATTAGGAGCATACTCAGCCCCAAGATCGACTAATCACCATTAAAGCTAATATTATACAAAATAAGCCCTAACTTTAATAAATGAACTAATAATTTTCTGAACTGGTGAAAACATTATATTAGAAAATGACAAGAAACTTTTGTATTAAGACAGGCAATTTTCTTTAACTTTGATGTGTCCTTTGCTTCGTATCAGATACGTGGAACATAAGCTGCAATGGAATGAAGCATTCATGTCAGTGAAAGGTCTAAAATACCCTCATCGTGACAAAATAGAGAAAAGAAGTATATGAAATCAACAATCAGGAGGTATTTTGTTCAAAAATATGTTTTGGAAGACACTGTAATATGTGAAGTGGAATAGAATTCAATAATAAAAAAAAAATTGAATATTTTGCATTATTTCCACTTATATATATATATATATATATATATATATATATATATATATATATATATATATCAAGAGGGTATTTTGGTCTTTTTAATTAAGAAAAGGTAAGAATGGAATCAAAATCCTTCCATTAGGAATGGTGATATCCATCAAACATGGAATTTGAAATTCCATCCATTTGGCAATCAGACACACCATGGAATGGAATCTCGAATTCTACGAAAAATTACAATTTAGCCCCAAATCAAGCGCTAAAAAAGGTGATATTTTTTAAGAGGGTGTAGAATATTGATGGTTTTTTACCTTTGTGCCCACATAAAATGTTACAAGCAAGCCAAAAAGAGTGGGTAGTCCTGGAAAAAGTAACAACATTTGATTTTATCAACTCCAGAGTAGATATGTTGAATAATTTGGGGAAAATAGAAATAGAAATAGAAACCTTCTGTCTGAAGAAATACAGATTTTAGCCAACTTATGCCTGATGGTCCGATGACAAAGCCCACAAGGTTAGCCACCTGCCAAATAGATATAAGGGCAAAATGGTCATTTTCAAATTCTTTTAAACAAAACGACCATATCCGTGGAAATCGACAAAGCATTGGGACCTAGATTTTTTTATATTATAATAAGTAAATACAATATATAGTTCTTCCGACTCTACTGTGTACACTAGTTAATTATATTTAATAAAAGTTTTAATTGTAAAAATTGAAAGTTAAACACAGTATAAACTCAAATAAAATAAAAAATAGTTAACTTTAAGACGAATAATAGATTTTATTAAAATTAAACTCATGAAATATTTGGAAACCCTTAAATATTACATATAAGATAAAATTGGGTTAAATGGTAATTTGTCATTGAGTCATTTCATTCCATGATGACGATGGCTACAAAATAAGATACAGATAAAATATGAACAGTTTCTTTTAATACAATACAGTGTCAGTGGAATGAAGCATTCTATTCCTTTCATGATTCCAGTGTACCAAACACTACCTAATGCATGAATATATTTACAAGTACTTTGTAGTTTTATGAAAGCAAGTGTTGTTATTTTCAGGAACATAATAATTAATAAATAGGGTACAATTCAACATGACTAGTTTTATGAAAAGATAAAATGAGAAGCACACAAAAGAATACAAACCATGAGACATGCGATTGTGATGGCACCAGCAACTGCACTAAGCTCACGCAAAATAAACTCCTTAAATACGTTATCAGCCTGCAAAAGGACAAGTCAAATTTCAGGGAATTGGAATCTCATAGTATTGTATAATGAGGGTATTTTGGTCTTTTAACATATAAATAAACATAACTAAATTCCTTCTAGGAATCATGATAGCCATCCAACAAACATAGAATTTGAAGGAATCAGACAGAATTGAATTCCGTCCATTTGGCCATGGAATGGAATCTCAAATTCCAATTACGCCATAAGAGATTACATAGTAAAAGTAGCAAGTGATTCATACAAACTCCTTAAATGCTTTACAAAAAAAGTATATTAGATCACTGAAGCTTGCTTAATTTTGCTCTATTAAAATTTATTACATCACCTTAAAAGAAGTTGCTGCTGATTTCAAAATCATTTCAGGAATAAAGAATATGCATGTTAACCATGCCCATGAGAGAAGTTTCCTGTACATAGCATAGCATAAACTCATTTAGATGCGGATAACTTCCACCAAAATTAAAAACTAAATATATATATATATATATATATATATATATATATATATATATATATATATAATATACCATTCGAGATCATGCCATATGGCAACAAATGTGAAGACAACCCACACATTTAAAAGCTTCCTTCCAGATCCCCCAAGAGGAATGTACATGTACCTATAAATATATAATCATTTCATAAAATAAAATATAAATAAAGTATGTTAATGTTGTTGTCAATGTCATTCTTGATTTTAAAAGACATACATAATAAGCTTTACCTCACAAGCCATTTGTTAAATGAAGCATGCCAATTTTTCCAAAAGCTTTCCAAGTTGTAGCAGTTGTTTATACACCTTGGCATATTCTCAGGTGCTTCAATCCCACTTACCTTCCCATATAACCAACAATTATTATATATATATATATATATATATATATATATAATTATATATATAACCAAACACTAAGGTAATAAGTCGTATCAATATGGCATTAAAATAAAGGCCATTTACATTTACTTACCAGTGCCCAAAATCGGAAGTAACGCCATATGAGGAAAAATTTGAGCCACATGAAGTTTAGGACCTGTATGTGGTTAAATGATGAGTGTATTAATAAGTGAGGTTGTGAAATTAAGTAAGTCTCACCCCATATCCAATAATGAAGACTTCCATAGGTGATAACTGTTTCCAGATTCCACTACATAATTAAAGACACAAAGTTAGATAATACTACAGTGGGATATGTTGTTATTTATATATAGATATAGATATAGATATAGACTCACGCACCTGATCGCAAAGGCATTGTAATAGAAAAAGTGTGTCATGATTTCCATAAGTAAGAGGCTAAGGACCCAACGAAAACCATACCAAGCCACTTGTTTCAGTGTATAACTCTTCTGAGGTGTATCCAGCTGCCACATAATACATCAGATTCTTGTGAGTTGATTTCCCAAATTAAACAGACAGAATGTTTTTGGAAGAAATCACAATCTGTAAACCAAATTGGAAATTGTGAAGTTGATGAAGAATAGAGAAAACCTGGGAAGCGAATGCGTTGAAACTTATAATAGGTCCAGCAATATAGAGAGGTGCATATAGCAAATAACATAGGTATATGGTATATGACAACTTGTCAATCCCCACACTTCTCTCCTGTTAAAATAAATATTAATATTATTTTTAGAATAACACTCATACTAATGCCATAACAATAAATTACTTGCCTGTAACATTCTGTAACATGTTTTTCCTGAAGAACAGGTGTTGCAGTGTCGGATGTGCATCTGCAATCACCAGACACAAATTAAAATCCCAAACAAGGCAACATAACTAAGAAAAAGAAGATATTTCTATTAGGAAAAGAGAATATATATGTATACCTCTTGATCAACATAGGGATTATGATCTGACCAATGGTAGTCATACCCAAAGCTTATCATGCGCAAAACAACTGCCAGAAAGGAATAAAAGGAAATTACATGAGAAAAGAAAAAAGTAGAAACTACACATCATAGTCGAATTCAATTAAAATGTAAAGAAATCGACATGTTCTTTGTTAATTGTTATGGAAGCAGCAATAAGCACAAGTTAAAGCAGATATGGCATATAAAGGCAGAGAGAGATAATACCAAAGTTAAAGCAGATATGCCATCTAAAGGTACCCCTAAATTTATCCAAATGAGCCCAATGGTCTCTGCAAGTGCATTCCCAAAATAAATATAAATCCATACATGATAACACAACACAGAGTGATTAAAATTTTTAATGAAGCTACAAATGAGAAGAAATTAACCCACCCAAAACTGGCAAATGAGTATCCCTCATAAACACGGTTACAAAGAAGAAATGATAAGTTGAAGACCCAAAGTATAAATGGAAAGTATTTTGTGCGTCCAAATATCTGCATTGCAAATCATTTGTCGATATGAACAAAATTCTAAAAGAGAAAAAAAAAAAAAAAAAACATGACATGGCATTATAACTACATAAGTCAAAAGCAAAAAACACACAAATTAAAGTGTACCTTAACCAAAAGGAAATTCGTTGATGCAATTGCAAGGATAAAAAAGATACTGCATTGGGATTGGGATGAAATATTAGGTATCAAAAAGTGGAAGTCAAAAATAAAGATTGTTGCAATTTTGGAAAATACAAAACCAAAAATACCCATGTCTGTTTGTTTTGAATTTTGAATCTGAAAAGTATAATGTTTCGAATTCTAGGGGTAAAAGACATACAATGCTCCATGGAGATATGACAAATATGCCAATGAAATCAAAAGCCAAACAACGGACATCCCCTCTGCCTTTAAATCATACCATGCCCTTACAGTGTTAGCCATCAATGTAAAAACTCCAAAAACAAAGGTTAGAATCGGCAAATTACTGCGGAAATTTCTCCACTGTGCATCAGAGGCATCCTGCAAAGAATTATTTTATTATGAGAGATTATTATTATTATTATTATTATTATTATTATTAAGTTAAATAACATGTCTGTAATCATCATATCAAAGAGTTACATTACATGTAAGCTAACGTAGACCAAGATTATAGTTAAAACTTGCCATGTGTATCTTGAAATGATAAAGTAAGAAAACATACATTAAGTTGAGTTGAGATCAATCCAGGACGTAGACCATATAGCTTCTTGTAATTATCTGTTATATCAATATATGTCAAAATCAGAGATGATTTAGCAATAGAAAATAACATGGGAATGGGATTTTGACTTTGTATTATATTAAGAAAAAAAACCCATAGAAATTGGATAGTAGCTAACTAAACATATATCTACATCTAAATACATGTATACAGAGCGAGTGTGTATGTGTGTGTGTGTGTGAGAGAGAGAGAGAGAGAGAGTACCATGGGACAGCTGCAGGGAATACCGAATGATGATGATGTAAAAGATAGCTGCATAAACAAGTATAAATACGAGCTCTCTTTGCTTCCATGAATTATTCATGTCGCCTTGACCAAAAAAATGATCTCACACTGAAATTTTGGCATATCACAACATCATCATTTTTGTATCTCTAACTTTTCAATATTTTCCGGTAAAATTTTGGCATTCTAAACCTTAAAAGTCCAAATGCATCGCCCGAATAAACTTACTTCATCACTAGTGTATATGCATACAACTCATTCTCAGATAGATAGATAGATAGATAGACAGATAGATGTATTGGAACTTAGGGCCAACAAATTTACTAACCGGAATCGCTGACGTGTCTGTGTGTGAAATAGACTGATGTGAACAAAATCTGAATGATATGTTTTGTTCAACTCTTCTGATTTGTTCAAGGCATAATCCACCTCACCTCGCAAAACCGCTAGTATCAGAGGCAGAAAATAAAGATATATTGTTAAACAATTGAAAAATGCCTAAGATCACTTTACATTTATGAGACCAGTTTCACTATTAAAACAAGTTTGAAATGGTGTTTGAATGACATTGCTTTGTTACGAGGCTTTAAGCGATTCCATAAAAATAAAATAAAGTAAGGGTCTGTTTAGCAGGATCTGAATTTTTAACATGTTGTTTGGTTGAAACCTCTGAATTTTTGTGCTGAAAGATAAAAATGACAATTTTACTCTTCTGCTACTTCTAAACTTTTCCTTATTAAGACATTGTACTTTAAAAACTATAATCAATTCTAGCATTCTAATTTGATAGAAATAAGTACAATGCTATAACAAAGCTAAATGGAGAAGTTTGAACTTCAATAATACAAAGCAATTTTACATGTTTAATAATGTAACAACCAATTTTCCTACAATCAAATAAAATATGAATATAACCTAATACATTCCTCTCTAGCATACACACCATTTCTTGCTGCACAAGAAGTAATACCAATGACTTCTTAAATAATTATAAAAAAAAAATAATATAAACACCATTCATTCCATCCATTCATCTACAAGTCCAGTTAATTCGCATTCCAAAAGTGACACCAACATCTTGACAATTGAAGTACACAAATGAAACACCGACATTCAAAACCTGTGCACAAAATAATGTATTCTATCACCATATGAAAATTTGATCTGCCAATTATGTGATTATGACTATCTAAGACATAACTTGATGCAGATTACTTGAAAGAAACAAGGAAAGAAGAATCCATATGCGTGGAATAACTGCATTATTGCAAGGATAAACACCTAAAATCATAAAAAACAACCCTCTAAACTCGATCAATCAACCAAAAACCCGGACAAATCCGAAGGAAGAACACAGCTCCAGAAAAAAACATCTCCAACTCTAAAAATCGAGTTTTAGGGCTTCTGATTTCAGAAGAAAAAATAAACTAAACAACAACCATCTATGAATTGATAATCGATTTTTAGGGCAAGAAAGAAAAAACCTTACCTATAACCGGTGGGAGGGAGAAGAGGCGGTGGTTTCGGAGTTGCTGCCGGGACTGTCGACGTCGGCGTCGCTGGCGGGGCTGGCGTCGTTGGCGGAGGGAGGCCGGCGGAGGGTTGTAGATCGGAGATGGAGCGGGAGGGAGTATGGGACGGTGGTGTTGATGGAATAACACCTAGTTTTTGTGTTCATGAGTTCCAAAAAATAAAATAAAAATAAAAATAAAAAAAAAACTTCTTGTTGGAAGAAAAACAAAAAAATACAAAAACAAAACAAAACATTAGGATTTTAACCTTATTTTTTAAGCAATTATATATATATATATATATATATATATATATATTATATATATAATATAATTCTAATCGGATAAGAATATTTATTTGCATGTTTTTGTGTCTTCGAAATGATTTATTTTTTTGTGTTCTTGAGTTCGAAGGAAATAAAAAAAAATTTAAAATAAAAGATTTAAAAAAAAAAAAAAAAACTTGTATCTAAGTTAGAAGAAAAACAACAACATTACAATTTTATCCTTATTTTTTTAGCAATCATATTACATATATAATTCTAATTGGATAAGAATGTTTATTTGCATGTCATCTTCACATTTTGTGTCTACATATAATATTCAACCAAACTTTAAGAATGGTCCAAAACAATGCAATTTAGTCAAACTAAAACTGTGACAACCCGTTTTTTCGAGTTTGAAAAAATCAACAAAAGTCAAAACTTGTTAACTTATTTATTTATTAGGAACTTATCCAAAGTTATAATATATAAAAACCTTTGATTTAATAAGTGTTGCAAAATGATGATCCAAATGCGAGGACCGAAAACCCTCGCATAAATGAATACCTCGGACCGAAAACGAATTTTCGACCGCAAACCCTTCGGACCGTAAACCTTCGCATGATGCACTGTTCTCGGCCGAAAACTGTTGTTCTCGGATAGAGTTCCTGACCGAAATCAGCTCAAATCTTATCCATAGGCACGAGATTCTAAGTGTTTTGCTAGTCTCAACGAAGGTGTCCCATCATATTTTCAGTCTTATATATATGTGGACCGAAATCAATCCTTCATTCTTACACTTGCCAACCGAAAACATCCTTTTTCCCTCTCAAGAACACAACCGAAAACAACCCCTTTTTCTCTCAACTATCATCCGAAAACACCACTATCTCCTTGTTTTCACCAAAAACACCAAGATCACTTTTCGAATCATCAAGCAACCAAAAACCCCCAGATAACCGAAAACTCCAATTTTCGGTTGATTCTAACACTTTTTATAAGTGTTTCTTACATAATCATTGTGTTATTTATCACTTAGATTGTTAACTTATTAACTTGAGTTCTATATCGGGTATAATTATTATTTAGGATACGACTTCTCGCACGAGTTCTAAACTAGAGGATCATTATTACTACATTGTATCTTCACTCGGACACTCACATAAGGTGAGTTCATACTCCTATGTTTTACCATTTTTAAATGCTTTTAGGGGAGAATACAAGTAAAACACAAGGTAGTTGTGTTAACATTTACATACGATTACAAATCATTTTTAGATATTTAATGCTTTTTATAAACTTATCAAACCATTCTAAACTGTTTTTCAACCTCTTAAATTCTGTTTTTATCAAACTATATATATATATATATATATATATATATATATATATAATTATGATTTAACAGGCTTAGTACCAGTATTTCTGCCTTAAATCATGTTTGGGCTTAGGATAGGAATGCTTGTCCGACTGTCTTTTAGATTATAATTATACATGCAACATATATATATATATATATATATATATATATATAAGTATAAACCTTATTTCAATAACAATTACTAACCCTTTTGTACATACCGAACAAAAGGGGTATTTCCTTTAATCATTTTCAATACAAACATAACACTTGTAAACTATAATAGGTATAGTTTTGAGATCCATTCACACTATTTTCTAGTTCAATAATACATTACATAAATCAATACATAAGTACAAATTGCTTTTCATTACAAGTACATTATTCATTTACAAGAAATAAGAAAACATATACACACTATACATAAACGAGTTAATACTAGAATGTGAGTCACTACTTCATGGTACCTACAAAGGTACATGTTAAAGTCCTATTTTATAACCAGAGTCTCCTGGAGGGAGAGAGTGAATTTGTGTATAGATCCATACGGGATTGACAATCTCGCACCTCGACTGTTAGCTACAGTTGGACCGGTAGGTCTAGGGGTGACAAATGTCATAACATTCCGACGCCTGAAGAACGTCGTGTAGGACACTAGTCAGTTCAGTATGGTTATAATATCATTCACATTAAACATTAACTAAACATTTTGGTTTACAAAACAAACATTACTTCAGTGGTTTAATTCTAAGTAATAGGACTACCTATCGTTATTTTCCAGCACTAATACACTATAGAGTTCATACAAGTGTAGTACACTATCTTTCTACCAAAGAAAACATACATTTATGGAAATCATACACTTACACTATTTCAGAGTACAATAAGATACAAACATTTTGGTCTTAAGGCCTAAGACTACTTTTCATTTATTATAGAAAATATGGGATTTCTGGGGAACATACTGTAACACCCAACAATTCAAACCAATTTAAACTTTTAAAAACATTTCAAACCATTAAAATTATTACAACTTTGTTTTCAAAATGTATAATATCAGAGTATCCCAGAAACATAAACATAAATATGAGGAGCTGTACGATCACGCCTTCGCCTTGCCGCGATCCCCTGATGTACCTGAAACAATAAACTGAAACTGTAAGCCCGAGGCTTAGTGAGTTCCCCAAAATACCGATACACTGCACATAATACGTATACCAATAACAAAATGTACTGGGTCCACAGCTTTACAGACTGGAATACCCTTGGGCCCACAGTGTGAGTCTGGATTGCCTACCGGGCCCACAGCTCACATTTGGTTTGCCATCGAGCCCACAGTACGAGTCTGGATTGCCTACCGGGTCCACAGCTCGTATCTGGAATGCTCCTAGGGTTTGTTGGTCACCGCACGAAGCAGTACATCCTCAACCCATCCCACATAACATATCAACATATAACATAACTACTGAGCATGCAGATAATCATATAACAACACAGGTAGTCCTACAGATCTACCTAACTGGATAACCACTAGCATGCAACACTAACTCATACTCAACTTCTAACACTGCTAGGATAACATATCCAATGGGCCGGCCTTAGTGCCTTATACCCCTTAGTATAGTGAGGTAACTCACCTTACAAGTGCCGTCCGAAACTAGAAAGCTCAACTCTCGGATTCCAATACGAACTCCACCACCTATAGTTACCATCAAACCCTTTTTCATAAATTTCCAAATTACCAAAATACCCTCAGAAGTCAACTGGTCAACTCTTGGTCAAAGTCAAAGTCCACAGTCAAAGTCAACAGTCAATGTTGACTCGACTCGCCGAGTGTAGTTCGCTGACTCGTCGAGTCCTTTCTGAACTCGAGAAGTCGTGAAATCCTTGGTTGGCTCGTCGAGTTCCCCTTTAACTCGTCGAGTTCATACGTGTCCAAGAATTTGGGAGAAACCCTGGCCGACTCGCCGAGTCTTCGAACGACTCGCCGAGTTCAAGGCAATCTTCAACGGACTCGCCGAGTTTGTTCATCAACTCGACGAGTTCATGACCATCTTCATAAGACACGCCGAGTTGACTATGCAACTCGCCGAGTCCTTGCAGACCTTCATCCATGCAGACCCTTTTTAAGCCATGCCAAGGTTCCAGATTACAGATCCAAGCTTCCAAGGCATGTTTCTTACGTAAAGTTGCAAACTTTACACGCATGCAAGGCCCTAGAGGCTCTAAATGACCAATCTAAGCTTCTAATGGAGATTTTACTCCTTAGGAGAGTCTCATCCTTGCAAGAGTTGGGAACTTTATGGACTTAGAAGCCCAAGGGAGTTCAGTTCTGAAGTTACAACTTCAGATCATAGCTTATACACAAGAATAGCTTCCAAACATACCATGAAAACCCTAGAATTTGTCCAAAAAGAGGATCTAGAAATGAAATGAGATCAGGGTACGATTTATACCTTCCAGAAGATGCCAAATAAGATAGATTTCAGATCACACAAGCTCCTTGCTTCTGAATACTTGATCTCCAAGCTCCCTTTTCCACAAAATCATCTTCCAAGCTCAAGAATACACAAATGGAACACACACACACTCGATTAGGGTTTGAGAGGGACAAGAAGCAGTAAAGGGGAGGCTGGGGGAGGCCAATGATCCTTTAAATAGGATGCAAAACCCCGAGATTTAGGGTTTCATCTGCCAGCTCCTACTCGTCGAGTCCCTTCTTAGACTCGGCGAGTAGGTCATTAAAATACGTGGACCAACCCGCTGCTACTCTACGAGTAGGGCAATCAACTCCTCGAGTAGCCCTTGAAATCAAGAAACTCACATATTAAATCAATAGCTGAGAATCAGGGCGTTACACATACTAACATTTTCAGGGAACAAATACAAACTTCAAATACTAAATGCTTATGAACTCACCAACTTAAATGTTGATACTCTATTTTCAAAATAACTTGTATTCTCAGAAAACCAGTAGTCAGGTAGACGTACTCAGGTTTTTGAGAAGACGAAGCTTATTCAAGACTCTACTTTTATTTTGCTATACATTTTTGGTGTCTTTTAAGTAATACACAGAACACACATGTATTAACTATTATAATGACAATGGATGTTGTTGCTTGTTTTACTATTATGCAATTGTTATGATATTGTACATGACGTCCTCCGCCCCTGAACGTTTCCGCCGTTCCGGTTTGGGGGTGTGACAAAAACTCCAAAAAACAGAATTCAATTCATGAAGCCAAAAATAAGTCAAACATAGAAACAAAAAATCAACATATATCCCAATTCACTCATTTACCTGCATTCATCGTTGTTTTTAGTAGATCCTTCTGTATGTTCATTGGACAACTAAACAATGTCCTCGCATCTGCTTGGTTACGAGCCAAATACATGAGAGCACCTGGTATTTCATGGGGTTCCAAACCCATCGGCTGCAATAAATTTCATCATCGGTTAACTTGTGATGGTAAGTTCTTTCAAAAAAATTGTTACCTTCCCTCATAGCATTAGCCACATCAGCAACAGCATTCATAATCTTTCTTTCAAATGTTTCTGGCTCAGGTTCAGGTTCAGGTTCAACTTCATATTCTACTTCATCTACGAATTTTCTTTTTTTACTTTTGCACTTGAATTTTATTCAGGTGGAAAACATGTAGGGGATACCACTTGAATGTCATCTTCATCGTCATCTATATGTTGGTTCTCCAGTACAACATCATTACTTGTCAATAAATCATCAACTTATGCGATACTTTCTACCTTGATGTCCACAGTCTTGCTTAGTCTGGCATTTTTCTCCTTTGTTGTTTCCGCATTTTCTCCTAAAGCTCTATCTCTAGCAAATAATACCAACATTTTTTCGAAGTTGGCCACTTTTTTGTCTTCAATATAACTGCTTCAGGCTTTGCCTATTTAAAAAACCCAAATCCAATTAAAAATCTAAATAATAACATAAATATAAAAACCAAAACTAAATACAATGTAAGATGAACACTAACGTGTCAACATCATTCATGGATTTTGGGCTCACCAAGCGCCAACAACATTCATGGATGCCTTTTCGTTATTACGAGTTCGTGGTGATGTCTTTGTTGGATTAGTGTCTAAGTTCATAACTATAATTGGTACATACTTGACCCGACCCGGCATGGTCCATTTGGGTTGCATGGCATCGGAACATTTGGATAAACCTTTTGTGAGAAGAGGATATTTGTGACATATTAATATATTATAAGTTCTAATATATTAATATGAAATCATATTAATTAATTAGTATTGATCAAGAATTAAGTTGGAATTAATTTAGTGATCAAAAGAGACTAATTAAATATATGGGGATTGACTGTGTAAATCATTCATTCTTATATATGTGGGCTTATGATCCATGATTCCTATGTTAGGTTTAACCCATGTGGTGACCCATGGATACTCCATGGAGGTTAAAACCCATGGAG